CGGCGCAAGTGCGTCCATACGTATATGCGTAGCGCGACTCGGCGGCTCTCGGTTTTGTGGGTGGCATACCACACTTCCTACCTGTATGCCACGAGCATATATCTCTCCATCTCGCCAGCAACAGACAGACCACACGCATGCGCCTCACGAACTGAACCCCGCAAAAGAGTGTCGTACGTGCGAGGCTTGCGCCAGTTTTTTTGTGCGCTTCTGGTCCACCTCGGTGAGAGCACTCGTTTGCATGCAGCCAATCACAAGCTGGGGCTGTACACGTTTACACGTCCCAGAGTGCAAGTGACTGCGCGAATAAGTGTTCGGATTTAACGTCCCGAAATCATGATATGATTGTGAGAAATGCCGTAGTGGAAGGCTCCGGAAACTTCGACCACCTGGGGGCTCTTTAAGGTGCACCTACATTTAAGCACACGGGCGTCAAGCATTTCCGCCGACATCGAAAATGCGGCCGTCGCGGCTGGCATTCGATTCTGTGACCGGCGAGTCGACAATCGAGTATAGCCCCTAGATCATTGCGGTGGGTCGCAAGTGACCGGTAAACAGACAGCTCGAAGGTTCGTCGGTCCCTGCGTCAAATGAATATCAAATGGAATTCGTGCCTTTGCGTTGTTAAACATGACCCATTGGGACCCGCATTTAGAAAGCGATCCTGTAAACTCGACCACTTCGCAGGTTCCTATCTATAATATAATCTGTGTAAACTGACCAATGTAAATCTCTATAGGAATGCTCAGAACACGCACATGAAAAAAGAAACGTTGCTAAGCTTGAGTGGACGTATCAAAAAGGGCTAGTAGTGAAGCGCTGCAATTCTAAAAATATAAGATGTGGCGCAGCTATTTGACTAGCCTTTGTAACCACGTCCCTCCCTCCACACCGCGCTCCTATGACCGCAGGTGTTGGGGCGGTGCCGAGTAGGTCACGCCTACCCTCGCAGTGTGCGCGCGTTGACACCACTCCTTCTCTAGCCTGTCGCCGTTCGCCGCGTGTAATGTCTCTCGCTTCGTCCTCTCTGCCACTCGGAAAGTTCGAGCGCACATCGAGCGAAAAGTCTTTCTGCGATGAAACTTGCAGGACACCCAACCCGCCTCCGGTGTCTTTGCGTTTAAACCAAACTTTCACTCGAGTAAACGCTACAACAAGTTTTGCTTCAAACCGTTCTTCCAGCGCCCCCGTCGACGCCCGTTTCAACCGGGTTAACGCCGTGCACATTGCTGCTGCTTTGCATTGCATCAGGGTTCCCCTCGGGAAAATGGTCCATAATTTTTTTCTTAATGGCTTTTAGAACTTTTTCTCAATGATCATTGCATGTGAAGCGCCACAGTGATTTTGAAAATGTACCTCTCACGCCTGATCGCTGCCTACGTGACCGAAAATCGAACCCGATTCCTCGAATTGGAATGCTCTATATGAAGGCGTCAACTGCTAACTTAGTTACAACGACACGCATGAAGGCCAGTCTGGTGGACGTATTTTTCACAAGAAGAAAGAGAGTTGAGAAAAAACCTTGACATACGCATTGTTAGGTGCGGGAGAGAGAGTTAGGGCACCGGATACGGAAGTTAACGATTGTGCACTCCGTACGGTTCGGGAGCGCATGCATATGAATGCGTGCGGGACGTGGTTACGGCACGGGAGCAGCCTTTGTTTACTGCCCGTTGAAAGTTTCACTTAAGAACTTGCGTGCTTTGAAAAGTATGCATAATTGTAAAATGGTGTTAAATGGCGTGCTTACCGAAATCGCGTGCTTCTTGTAAAATGGCGCTGCGTACCGAAAGAATGAAGGATTTAAATATGAAGTAACGACGAAAAAAAGCACATCGGCATATGTGTTGTGCTATCTCCTGCACGCAGTAGCTCTCTCTCTCTCTCCCCCTCCTTACCCGATTATTACATGGTTATTCATCTTCTTGCAACTTCTATGGCTGCGTGTCACATAGCGTGAGATACAACTTTGAAGGATTTTTTCTATTTTTTCATTTTTTACAGCCATGATGTGATTCGATACAATTCGCACATTCTATTTTCCACTTCCTTGTCTGTTTGCAGATCAACAAAACTAAACTTGATTGATTGATTGATTGATTGATTGATTGATTGATTGATTGATTGATTGATTGATTGATTGATTGATTGATTGATTGATTTAGCTGAGCGGAACCAAAATTTATCCGCTCTATGCGGGCTATACTTTTAGCTTGTATGTCCCCCAAAAATTTGGTAGCAGACTTCTCTGAACTTCTGGTTCACTAAAAAAATGGCAGCATATCTGCGGGGTGAATGATGGCGAGGGGGGCGAAGCATGTGTCTGTCCATTCGTTCTTGCTTCCGTCCGTCCATGCGTCCTTCTGTGTGACCGTCCGTGCATGCGTCTGTTCGTGCGTCCACACGTCTATCCTTGTGTCCGTCCATGCATCCGCCCCTGCGTCCGTCCATGCGTCCATCCGTCCGTGCAGCCATCCATGCGTCCGTCCATGCATCTGTCTGTGTGTCCGTTCGTCCATGTAGTCAACACTCCAAGTACCACCATCTCACATCTATTCATCATATATTCTGCACATAGAAGCAGCGCCATCCAGCGGACTTACCAAGGACTAAACGAGAGGTGCACACTTCTTACGGTTTGCGCTTCGTGTCTACATCCCACCTTTAGCCACCTCGAGTTCATGGTATATGCTAGTTCACTGTATTCGTGGCACTGCGGCCCAACGCTCGCTAAACCTTTCTAAAACCAAGGAGGTTACGCCCAGCGAGTATAATGCAGCAACCCTTTCTTGTCAGATAGGGCTCAATGTGCATGCCAGTATCTGCTAATGAGGAATGAGAAACAGGAGAATTCGGCGTTCAGTTAAAGCGCACGCTGCAAATTTTTTATTGGTCAACAACGCACAGGAGAAATCTCCCACCGGCACCAGCTTGCAGGTCAAAACGTAAGACTAGTTACGCACTACGACGAGAGACGAACGGGTGCCGCTTTAAGGAGCTTCGCCCCTAAAAGGATGAAAAGAACACACGAGCAGCAAACACGAAGGTTTCTGGACAGACGTGACATCAGAAACTGAGACTAGTGAATCGTCTGGATTACACTTCTGACAAGCGAATAGGGCCGCGTGTTTGAGCTTCGCTGATTATACCCATTTGTGCGGAGTGCCAGGGCGGTGATTAAAAAAAAGGGGGGAGAAAAAGTAGCAGTCGCCTGCTGCGTGCTCCGGTGCGTCTTTCTGTACTTAAAAAAAATGTTGCTTTGTTCAATCAACGAGCGTAAATCTGCGGTGAATCCTAAAAGATAGCCATTGTTCAGATTATATCACTGACTTCCTTGGCTTAAGAAGTGATTGCTTCAGAAGGCTTTGGTTGACGCCACCGAGGCTTTGTTCTTTATGTTGAGCTGTGACATGTTTGTACCGTTAGCTCCCCGTTAGCCGACGACAAACTGCGTCGTCAGCTAACGGGACGGCTTTAGGCACTCCCATGTAGTAGAGTACTCAGTAGTACCAATTGTTAACCACTTTTTATAAACAAACAGACAATGATTTTTGTCACTGAAAACTAGGTCAACTTCTTATGTGCATCCGTGTATCGGCTCTTTGCAATATGTCCATTTGTGATATTTTCTTCCAAATTTGTCATCTTAAAATGGCTGCGAACAGCACCGGCCGTTCCTTAAAAGGAGAGTTGCAAGTGGGCTTGTTGGTGATGCATTTGAAAGAATTTTTAACGCAATAGCGTTAAAGAGCTCGTTTCAAAAAAATTCCGGCGCCTGCGCCGGCATCGGCATCGGCGTCGGCGGCGTTGGTTTTGAGCGAAAAATTTTCATCCTATGCGTGACCAAAAAATGAAGAACGATGCAAATAAACAAAGTCACGGAAATTTCGGACCGAACCAAGGTTGTTTGGGTCTTAGTGGGGATCGAACCCGGGTTGTTTGCGTGGCAAGCAAATGTTTTACCATACGGCCATGCCTCTCCTTTTTTTTTTTCATTAATGAATGAAATTATACGGCCACGGCTCTGATTGCCACGCCTCTGCTTGTGAGAAAAGTGAAAAGACCTTCCTCTGTTTGGAAATGCGCAGTGAAAGTAGCTTTCACGCTTTACAAACGCACGCGTCCTGTATACATGCTTTACAACAGTGTAACATGAAATATTGCAGAAATAATGCATGGTACAAGCGTCCATAGCCAGTGAGCTTCAGAATATGTGATTATCATAATGGCTCCGTGGTTCAAAGCCGGTACCCCACTATACAAAAGGCACTGTGCGTAGTGGGTGCATAGCACATTCGAAAAGGTTTCATGCAATAAGTGTTTGAGCTACGCATTAGGAACAGGGTGTCGCTATCACGTTCAGCTCCTAAAGGCGAAGCTTTAGGAACCCCTAATTTTTGTAGCGTGAGGCGAAATGCGGAAACAGGAAGGGATAGATGGAGAGGATAGAGTGCTATTATAGCAACAACATGTTTATTTTCAAACTCAGACTGCTTTTAAGCCTTTGAAACTTCCTTCGCACAGGTTCCGAACTGAGTGCACTGTTGTTATTGTTGATGTTGATAATTTAAGGGGGGGGAGGGTAATGATCGTGGTGAGGGTGATCATTCATAACGTGGCACTCACCGCAGTTATGGACGCACAAAAAACCCTAGGATTGTTTGTGGGCAGGCTTTCGAAAAAAAAAAAGTTGTAGGATATTAACGTCCTTACGATTGACTCTACAGAGAAACTGTCAACACCTTTCCCATCATTATTAACGTATACCTTCGTGTGTATTCTGTATTGTCATTTACTTACCTCCAAAATATACGTGTTCACCTTTCAAGAATCACTATCTAATGCACAAAATTTGTGTCAGTGATTCATGATGTCGGGTTAGGGGTAAGGAAAGTAATTCATGTTGTTCCCAAAGCGAGCCTTGCGTGTGTTACCTCCTCGTGGGTACGTACCACATTTTAATCCACAACAAAATCAGTGTCAAAATAAAAGCGAGGAAGATGTTTTCTCGAGCGAACACCAACGCGGACACGGACGCTGCATCCGAGGAGTCGTCGCGTAGCGCCGCCGAGGCTGAGCCGGATCCGGACGAGGCGCCGACAGAGACCAGGACGCCCGAGATGAACCTCGTGTTCCAGGCCGTAAAACGCTTCCACGGCTTCCTCAAGTCTCAGCTGTACGCGGACACCATCCTGGGCAGGTCCACCGCCGAGCTGGAAGTCGTGTCCAACGTCAGGAGGGACTTCATGCTGTACGTCTTCCTTCTACTGCTCGTCCTCTCCTTCCTGGTCGGCGTGTTCGGGCGCCACATGAGCAACGTCATCTGCGTCCCGTACCCGGCCGCGATCTCGCTCATCGCCGTGGACAGCAACGTGAACAAGCGCTACGTGAAGTGGATCACGTACTGGATGCTCTTCGGCTTCGTCAACCTGGCCGACATGACGTGCCCGCTGGTGAGCCGCCTCGTGCCCCAGTACCACCTGTGGCGGACGGTCTTTCTCGTGTGGTGCTTCTGTCCGTACAAGTGGAACGGCTGCAAGCTAGTTCGCGAACGCCTCTACACCGCCAAGAACATGAGGATCATGAGAGTCGTGGCCTACGTCTTCTACGAAGGTACCAGGATGTTGACGGCAGAGTGACCATCGGGTGCGGCGGAGAGGTTCTGTAACCGAGGTGTGAAGAAGACATACCAGCTACGAAGAAGGCATAAAAAGAAATTAATAAAGAAAGAAATCATCCGTGCTGTGAGGAGCTCGTTTGTATGTCAATCAAGCCGATAGTTCACTTGAACTGCCTGTTTATCTACCTGTATTAGCAGCAATCCACTGTGACATTTATTAATGTGGACGTCTTAGATGCCTCATCAAACGGGATAATTGACCGTCAACAACGTCAACACAAGTTATAAAAAAAATTCCTTGGTGGTGTTAACATATGACGTCATGATGGCGTCACAGAAGCCAAAATTTATGACGTCACACATGACATCGTCTCTTGGTAAAAAGCGGGCCGATCATGGAGGCCATGCAAAACCAGGTGAGGTGCAGGAAGCTTGCAATGCCTTCGATCCTGGAGTCAAAGCAGAGCCATGTTTGGTGCAGAAAGCATTCGGAAGGGGGCGGGCGGGATCAGAACATCGATTGGGAAGAAAAGGAAGACGGCTGTCATCTTCCTGTCGTCTTAAGCGAATAATGCACACGGGGCTGTGCGAGTTTGTTTTTTTTTTAACCTCAGATCTGCTGCAGATTTTATTTATTCTTAAGAAAAGCAAGGTGATGTCGATGAAGGAGAATAAGATATGAGAGTGGCGCAAATCGTGACATTTGCACGCTTAAAAGGAGGGTTCCGTGGTTGCAAAGCACGGCAGAACAGCGATTAGTGGGGATCCATAATTCAGCGGAAACGATATAGGTTGTTGCTATTGTTGATCTTGTCGATGTGGTGACCATGACGATTAATACAATGATGATTGCCAGTTTACTTCCCAGATGCAAAAAGTAAAAATCATCCGCCACAGACGCTCACGTTAACCCATCCACAAAAGCGCAAATGCGCGTACCCGCATAACGCACACGCAATTGCGCACCCGGACCTCTTCACCGACGCGTTCATAGCCGAAAGATTCCGGTTGTGCTCGGGCCAAGCCGAGTGACTGGTCCCGCGGAATGCGCTGGAGACCTCGGCAGAAGCACTACTAGGTGCGCGCGACTTGGCTATACCGCGGCATGGCGCTGGCCGCGAAACATTTTTCAAACCTAAAGCGACGGGACACGGCGCTGTACGTGGTGGACGTGCTCTGCACGCGCGCAGGGACGACACGATACGCGAGGACGCGGTCGTGTTCGAACTGGTCGTTAAGGCGTAGTTCCTGGTTCTTTCTTTCTTTTTGTTCGCCCCTCACTCGATGTCCTCTGCCCCAGCGCGGAGTTCGCTGGATTGCGACGTGACGCCCATCTATCGGCCCGATAAACTGCGACCTCGACTGAGACTTTAGCCGCGGATCGCAATTGCAATCGCGGATGACTCAACCGAGTGCCGCGTGGTTCTTCCGTGATGTTGCGACCGCCTTCGAGATCGCTACCGCTTCTGGGAGGGAGGGGGGCAACATTGTTGCGAGGCCGTCTTTGGCTCCGGTATGTGGAACGTCTTTACGGATGTTTGGCGAAGCCGAGCGGGAATCGGTGCTATTCGCCCCAAGATCGGGCCATAGGTGGCAGCACCGTCACCGCGATAGTGCGGCTAGGCGGCCGATGGAGCGCATACCAATGCACGCGGCGGCACTTTTTTGAGAGCGGTGGGAGCCGGTTGTCGGTGAATAATATTCTTTGAAGGCAGCGTATGCGTAATATATATGTCATTCATTGCCGGATGTATGCACGAAGCTCGCCAAACGTGACTAATACTTGTGTGAGAAACACAATCCGCAACTGAAAGGATGTTCGCGCTTGGCGACTGTCTGCGTCTTCACACTATATCACGCGTGTTGTATTTTTATTTTAAGTGTCTGGGCTTGTGCCCACCTACTGCCCAATAGTGTGACTGAATTCATTTTTTGATTCAAGCATGCTGCTCCTGCATAATAAAAAAAAGAAATTGAGAAGGAAAGGACAAGAAGACCAAGAGAGAAGGCAGGGAGGTTAAGCAGGCACATGCCCGGTTCGCTACCCTAGGCTGGGGGAATAGGAAGGGGGAGAAGGAAAGAAATCTTATATCTTTAGGTCATGAGAACTTTCAAAACGCATGCGCATTTTTTTTCCCTTATTCAGTTCTCCATGAAATGAGCCTAATGGCTTTAAATCGAAGACCATTCACATAATGGCAACTCTTAGGCCCGTGTCGAACAAAAAGTTTACAAAAAGGTGCTGTAAAAGCATTAAATTTAAAAAAAAAACAATGTCATTCTTGGCCGATATTACTGCTTTTTTTTTTCCTTTTTTTTAGCATGACAACCATATTTATGGGACTGTATACTATTGTGTTGGCAATTATGGGACTGTTGACTGTATGTATAGATTACTCTTCAGTTTATTACATCACGGTATATGCGCATATATGAAATTGTTTAATACGTTGTTTGGCAATTTCAAGTTGAGCTATAATTTGTATATTGTGTTATTATAGTTGTATATTGTATGTGCAGTGGACTTGCGCTTAAGACTTGAACCCTATGTTCTTCATGTTAGATACCCCCAAAGGATAAGGAGCAGCCGTCGCCTAATTCAATTGTGTGCCGACATCTCCTTACATCTCGCCAAAAAAGAAAAACAAAAAAATGTAGGACAACAGTTGACAAGTTCATTCAGGAGAGCCACGTGGTTGACAGCGCTTCAGCGCGCTTGTTCTTACTCCAATAATTGTGTAAAAAAAAAGATAACTGTTCAGCACGCAGCATTCTCCGATTTATGATCTGCATGACAGCGATGCAACAAATGTTCGGTCCTTTGGTTGGACAAAAGTATTTATTTTTTTCAAGTGAATAATGATTGGTACTTCTCTCAGTTCATAATAAAGCCATAAAAGTGTTCAAGGCAGTGTAAATATAAAAAGACACGTTACGCCTGAAATTTTACTACATAGGTGTGGAACGTACACGCCATCTGGATTATTTTTTTACCATCTATATTATTTAACAGAGAATCCAAATATAAGCACACGGGTGGGTGTGTTTGTATAAATATCGACCAATGTTAAAATTGCCCACTGCTACTCAAGTTTAATCACCTCCGTGTCGTACATGGTCCTTAGGCTTCCGCAGCCGGAGGCAAAATCACGTGACGCGCAATAATGGTGCTTTCTGTTTCTCTCTCCATTCTTCTTTTTCTCTCTCCGTTACTCAGCGCCACTCCATAGATTGAGTATGAAACGAGAAAAGCTGAATGTGAATTATATATGCCGGCGGATAAAAGAGGTAGAAAATCAGAGAAAAGGAAAGCAAAGGTACATTTCTTTTGTTTCCCTTTTATTTCGCGGAACGTGCTTGCTATAGCTTCCGTTAGCTCCTTCAGAAATGACGTACAAGAGACCTCATTACGGTCCCTCGACGAAACACTGCAAATTGAACGACCAGAAGAGGTCGCGGCAGACAAGCGGCCAGCTCCAAAAAATGATTCTTTTTTTTTTTCTAAGGTTGTATCCTTCCTTGTGCTATAAGAGAGCTGCGTATAGCGTCGCGATTCGTTTAAAGGCCGGCTTTCGTAGCACGTTCGCGAAGTAAACAACAACAAACAAGGGAGAGACGTAAAAGGATGAGCTTGAGTGGCGCAATGTTGTCGAGTATGATGCTTTCGACACAACAAGGGCTGATTTCACCAGGCGCACACAATTACATCACTGCTTCACGCATAGCGTGTACGTCGCGACAAAGGCGCTTTCCGTAGTTATATACTTTGTTTGCAGTATCTACGCAAAGCGTCAGTCCCTGCTGCGCTGACCACACCGCACGCAACGACATTGGTGCAATTGAGTGTTCGAAATCTTGGACACGGTGGGGTTTCGAGTACCGTGTACTCACTCTCTCTCGCGTACGTTTACGTAAATGTTTGCGTTACTTTGTTTACTGAAAATCGGCGGTTTTGGCCTGCGTGCGTCACTGCCGCAAATATAATGCATACTTCGCGTGTAGCATATTCCGTGTTTATTCAATTGTAGGCCGCCAATATGCTCTTTGCCTTCGGTGACTGTATTATCATGAAGCCAGTAACGTTAGTCCTAGGAGGCAACGCTGTATACCCATTACTATCGACGGCCTTATGTTCATCGTAAAGGTTGTATTACGCACGCACTAACAAACGGGCACGAGAGGAGCGAAGGCTGGACGTGCGCCGTCCTGATCCTGCCCTTTTCTTCTGTAGCTCTTAACGCAGTTAAAAAAATGGCGGCATGTCCTCGGAGTGAATGATGGAGAGTGGGGCGAAGCATCCGTTCGTCCATTCTTTCTTGCTTCCGTCCGTCTATGCGCCCGTCTGTGTGACCGTTTATGCGTCCATCCGCCCGTCCGTGCGTGTGTCCGTGCGTCCGTCCCTGCGTTCGTCTATGCATCCGCCCCTGCGTTCGTCCATGCGTCCGTCCATGCATCTGTCTGTGTGTCCGTTCGTACATCTATTCAACACTCCAAGTACCACCATCTCGCATCTTTTCATCATTTATTCCCCATATAGAAGCACCGCCCTCCAGCGGACATTCCAAGGACTAAACGAGAAGTGACACACGCACACTTTCTTATGGCTTGCGCTTCGTGTCTACTTCCCACCTTTAACCACCTCGAGTTAATTCATGGTATATACTAGTTTACTGTATTCATGGCACTGCGGTCCAACGCTCGCTAAACCTTTTTAATACCAAGGAGGTAACGCCCAGCGTGTATAACGTAGCAATCATTTCTGGTCAGAGAGTGCTCAAGTACATGCCAATGGCTGCTAATGGGGAATGAGAGACAGGAGAATTCGGCCTTTAATTAACGCGCACGCTGCGAATATTTTATTGTTCAACAACGCACCGGAGAAATCTCCCGCCGGCACCACCCTGCAGGTCAAAGCGTAAGGCTGGTTACACACTACGACTACGACTACTACGAGGGACGAATGGGGGCCGCTTTAAGGAGCTTCGCCCCTGAAAGAAACGTCCGGCCTATCGAATTGGC